GGGCGCGTGATCATTAAACCAATTGTGCCCATCCCCCCTTCCTCTTGCCATCCTTCCGGCAAATATGATTTTAATAATTTATTGATTTTGAGTTCACATTTCGATATATCTGGCCAATCATACACCCGTAAGTAGAGAGTTTCGTCTCATTTTACTTTTCCCTGTAGCCAGCATATGCCTTTCGGTTCGTAAAAATTGATAATTCAATTTATCGCAAATTTTAGTTGCACCGAAAGACGTCAGTTGAAAGCAATATTTTCTATAGTTATTCTCCTATTTGGGAAGATACAACAAATCAAAAATAATGAGAATTGGCCCACTTGTTCTGGATTTATAATATATATAGATATATAAGTAGATATATATTTAATTTTGTGTTAAGAAAAAGAAAAAAATAAACCGTTACTACACCTGGCTGCTCGGCTCTTCCCCATATATCAGATCGTTAGCCCTGAAGTTCGGATAAGAAATTGGTTTTTCAGCGAAACTTTATTATGTAAGCCATTTAATTTTTTGCTACTTCTTAACGTTGCTTTTTTCCTTTCGATTCCTAATTGGAAAATCCCCTATCTGTATCTGATCCCTATATCTTAGTGCCTGTTTTCATCCGTTTAAGAGGTCTGTTATTGCCTGATACTGATTAAGTAGATTTTCCTGTAGCTCGCCTATAATATTGTCCCTTCGCGACATTTCAGAGTCGGCTTAACAGATTAAGGATAGTTCCGTCATTTTATTTTTATCGTGGACACAGTTTGCATATCCAAAATGTCATAATAAATACAAGTATATTCCTAATTATTAAAAGTTAATACTAAACGAGAAACTCAGCCGAGTATTCCTCGATTCTTAACATGTCAAACAAATTAAAACATTTTACCACATTTCAAGAAATAAGTTTTTACTTTCGTTTTTCAAAAACCGTATTTGTTTGTCAATTAATTCTAACAAAAAACTTGCTAATAAAAAATTCTCAATTAAAAAAATAATTAAGAATTGTTAACTATATACTATAAGGTTAAAATATATAAGCTGGCGAAAACTGCTTAGAAACTCAAGAAATAGTTATCCAAGTATTTTCCCTAAAACACCAAGTCCGAACATTGTCAATAGTTGGTTTTCGATTACAATTTTATAGACATAAGGACTCTACTCTACTGTCATAAGCTATTTTTAAATATCTTAATAATACAAGTAGACCGATTTTAGACAATTTGTACATATATACATAAAATACACACTGAAATCCAGAGCTATTAATACAAGTAGGTAGTAACAAGCAATGCACTCAAAAGATAGTGATGCCTAGATAGGATAACATCATGGGTCGAAAAATGTATAAGAACGGAAGAATTTGTTCAATAAGATCAGGCAAAATCTGTGAATTCAGGCGTATATTTTTACCCATTTTTTTGCGACAGTAAGAGATTGCATAAACTTGTTATAGCTAAACATGTTTGCCAGAAAGCCTTCTCCCAGACTTCTCTTTTGCACTCTATTTAACACTTAGGATTGATTCATATACATACTATTCAGACAATAGAACTCTAGTGCGAGTAGTCAGAAAAATCGATCGGGATCGGTGAAGTATATTTCGTTCTCCCTTGCCTTTGAGGGATGCCATGGAAATGCTAACAAATACGTGTCACGCACCCATCTCTACTGCACACGCACACGAAAGTGGAGCATCGACTATGAAGGCAGTGTCAGTGGCAATGGTTAGGGCATGGGGCATGGGGCGTGGGGCAGCAGCCCCCTTAGGCTTGGGGTTGAAAAATAGGCAAAAACTGTTTTGCCGTTGTTGCTGGTTTTGTTGTAGTTGGCGCCAGGACCGTGTAAAAGTTGCTGAAAAGTGTAACGCAGGCAACGTCGCTGCTGCGGCTGCTTCAGCTGCTGCTGCTTCTGTTTTGGGGGGTTTTGGGGGGTCTGGGCCCGATTTCGGTGCCCGATTCTGGCAGAATTCTCATCGCCTACGCGTCATAGTTTCAACTTTGCCGTTGAAAGTGCGGTTGTTTTTGTTGTTGCTTTGTGTTTTTGCCAAAAATTCACGCACTTTTATGTGTGCATGCGTGTATGCATGGGTATACTCGTATATGTATGAGTGTGTAAGTGTGTGTGTGTATGTGGCAAGTACATAGAGGCGCCGTTATGTGCGCAGATTTCCGCTTGACATAGAAGCGGGCGCCGCTTTCCTTACTTTCGCTTTCACTTTCACTTTGCCCTGACTTTGGCCCAAGCGTGCACAAACTTTCGACATCAAAAAGAACTACTTTCGATAATCACAAGCCTGGCGCCAAAGGAATTACTTTGCCAGCAATTGTTGCTGTTGTTGTTGTTGTTGCTGTTTTTTCCTTTCGCTCGCCTTTTTACTGCCTTATTTTTGCACCATATTTCTATATGTGCCAGAGGGGGGAGGGGGTGGTGGCACTTCGGCATCTCAGTTTTAAAGTTTGCGACGAGTAGCAACAACACACACTCACACCCACACTCACACCCACATACTAGAACACAAGTTACAACAATTTGTTGCCTACTTTTATGCGCATAACTAATTTCCATAAATTTTTGTGCGCGCACGCTTTATTTTTACACATTTATATATTTTTGTTGCTGCTTCTCTTTTTTATGCAATATTTTGCCTGTTTTTATTGATATTTTATGCGTTTATTGTTTGTGGGCGCCGATGAGATCAGCGTGGGGCAGCCAGCAATCTTTTTTTTTTTTTTTTTTTTTTTTTTTTTTTTCTTCTTTTACATATATACAATTTATTAAACTAGTTTTCTACTACCAATATGGCAGCTTAAGCTAGTTGAAAGTTAGGGAATACAAAAGTTGTCTATAGTAAGCATCTATAGGACGCACTTATATCTATGTACATATATACAATATTTACAATGTTTTACATTAGAAATGAAATTATATTTTATGATATATATTATATATTTTATACAAGGGATCTTGTGGGGAGATCCTTTGGATGGCACTTCTTCAATCTTCTCTTCTTAGGTTTGGACAGGAGCCGCCTCGCTAGTGCGTTGGGGTGACTGCCGAGTCGCTTCTCGTAATTGCTTGCGTGCATTTGAATGACATCGCCAACCTTGGGGACACATAAGTCTCTTTCGATGTCCCTAGTGCGCATATACCAGGGAGCGTTGCATATTTTTCTGAGTATTTTAGCTTGCGCAACTCTTATTTTATTTAGGTTCGATGCAGCGGCAATGCCATAAATTGGTAGCGCATACTTCCATATTGGACTTAATATGGACTTGTATACTGTCACCTTACTGTGCAGAGACAGCTTGTTGCAGGGTGCAAGCAGCCATGCCATCTTTCCGGCTTTTGCCATGACCGATCGCTTGACCATTGTTGTATGCTTGCTGAAGTTGAGTCTTCTGTCCAGAATGACACCAAGATATTTGTGCGAATTTGTATGACTGAGCGTGGACCCCAACATTGTGATATCTCCGCATGACGACGGCCTTGTTGTAAATGTGACATTCGCACACTTGCTGGCGTTGATACCAATGTTCCAATTCTGAGCCCACTTCTCGAAACTACTTACATACTGCTGTAAGGCTTCCGAAGCTACATCGATATCTCTGCATCTGGTAAGCACCGCAGTGTCGGCAGCCAGCAATCAATTTGGAAAAATATTCTCAACATACAATTGGTCATACGTAGGAATATTTCTGTTTATGCTTTCTTTTAACACAATTATTAATTAAGCCATTTCCTCCTCTACCTCTCTACCCCAGCTTCCAAATTCCACTTCCAAACCTAAGCCATTTACAAAGAACTTCAAAGCGCAGGCTGCTTCATCAATGGCATCATATAGCTCACCACTTTGCGCATGAAGATGGAAAATGCAGTCGGAAAACTGGGCGACTGCGATCTCGTAGTGGTTGTGGTGGTGGTGGAGGTTAGCAACCGGTTTTCCATTTCCACGTAACCCTTGCATTTGCTAATTCATCACAGCAAAGTTCTCATTAAATCGCGAGGGTGGAAAAACAGCTTCGCCAAGCAGAACGGACGTTGGACGGACAACGGGTGGGTTGAGAGCTAAAAATGCAATTGCCAAAGGTGAAAGAAAAGGCGAGGAATGCCAATCAGCCAAATGGGCAGCCCCGTTAGCGGGGTAACAATGGCAACATAAACGCTGGAGAACACTTAATTGTAGAATGCTTTCAACTCTTTGAACAATATATTTTAGGTACTCAGAAATAAATATTAAATCAAAGATTACAAAACACAGATTATTCTACACAGTAATACGGATTATAATATACTACATAGTCATTATCATCAAGGTGCTCCCCACCAATGGGGCACAAATCTGACATATAGCAAAGCTTTACTTAAAAAATTTTGTTTTCAACTCTTGTTGAATGTGTACAAGTATATGAAAATGGTTGGTGGTTGAACAATTTTGTGTTACCTCGCCATGCGCCTTCGATTATATTGTTCAGTTTCATTTGAGAAATAAATGCTACTTATATATATTTCTATTAATCATTTAAAAATATTTTTGTGTCTGCAGAAAACCTAAGACAACGAGAAATTATTTATTCGTAATTCTATTCATCAGATAAATTTTGATCGCGCTTTTGTAACTCAGAATGTTTGTAAACACAATTCTGATATTATTTTCCAATGAATTAAATAATTAAAAATTTAATTTTATGTTAATTTTAATTAAACTATTTATGAACACAAATATTATATTAAAAATATTAAGGACGTTTTGTGTGTATGATGTACTGTATATGCCAAATTTTCAAAAGATTCAAAACACGTTATGTGTTTTTCCTATTATTCAACATTTGGCAAAATTTCAGTTTGAAATTTGTAACCGAAAAACCAATCACTCACTTCAAGGCTGCCAGCTTTTGTCTGAGCCACAATTTTAATTCAATAAATAGTGTGCACACACTGCTCTCTGACATTACGTTTTGACACTTGATTCTAAAAAAAAAATTTGCTCGGTTCCACAGCAAAGCAGCGGACGGACAGCAACGCTAACGAAGAAGTCTCGCCCAGAGATTTTCGATTTAAACAAATAATTGTAAAATAAACATTTTGACAAAATGATGAACGCCGTGACCCGTGCTTATGTGCGTGCGAGTGGCCTTAAGGCCACCGGAGCTGCTGTCAACGCAGTGGGTAAGCAACAACAACAGCAACAGGGGATGCAAAATTACATAATGTCCGAGTGGAGAGCAAAAATATATGTGTGTGGGGCTGCCAGCCCGTAGTGCAATTGGAAGGAAATGTTTTTCCTGGCCAGCAAGGAGGCGACGGCCACTTTCCTTACGTAATTTCAACATAACCTCCACCTCCAAAACCAAGTGAAAACAAATGATTTGCGAATCAACGTGTGAAGCACAGAGCGCGCTAACCGCACACAACAAATCTTTGCCTTCAATGTTCAGAAACACTGTGAAAATCTAATGATCCCCTTTCCCGCAGCTGCGCGCCAGGCTCACACCGATCTGCAGGTGCCTGACTTCTCGCCATACCGTCGCGACTCTGTCAAGGATGCGCGTCGCCGCAACGAGACCGCAGAGGAACGCAAAGCGTTCTCTTATATGCTAGTCGGTGCTGGTGCCGTGGGCGCCGCCTATGCCGCCAAGGGTCTGGTCAACACCTTTGTGGGATCCATGAGTGCTTCGGCCGATGTGCTGGCCATGGCTAAGATCGAAATTAAATTGGCCGATATTGCCGAGGGCAAGTCTGTCACATTCAAGTGGCGCGGCAAGCCGCTGTTTATCCGCCACCGCACTCCGGCTGAGATTGAAACGGAAAGGAATGTGCCCACATCAGCTCTACGCGATCCAGAAACAGACGACGTACGTATTTTGAATTTACCCCAAATGTCTACAGCATTTTAAGACCGACTCATTCCTCATTTAAACCTGTAGCAACGTGTCATCAAGCCCCAATGGTTGGTGGTCATTGGTGTGTGCACACATTTGGGTTGCGTGCCCATTGCGAATTCCGGTGACTTTGGTGGCTACTATTGCCCTTGCCATGGCTCCCACTACGACGCCTCTGGACGTATTCGCAAGGGCCCGGCGCCACTTAACCTGGAAGTGCCCACTCACGTATTCCCCGATGAGGGCACCTTGATTGTTGGCTAAAGTGCGTGCGGGTTTTTAAAAAGGACGGGCGATGGAACAGTGTGTTGTTAACGTTTAAGCCGCAAACTAATGGATTAATGTATATTAATAAATACCACAAAGAAAACAGCATATTCGTATACATCGAAATGGCAACATTTTATTATAAGCAGATAACGCAGCTTATTGAAAAAGCAGCATTTTTAAATTTCGCCAAACCTGCTAAATAACAACCAACTTGCAATTATTTGTTTTTTTATTGTATCAGCTGGCACAGGGTCTCTGTGATATTTTCTTTTTTTTAGGATGTGGTCACACTAAATCGAAGTATCGAGTAAGTTGAGCATTGCGAGTAGTCGACACGACCACAAGGCGTCTCAAGCTCATTAGTTAGTAGTGTAGCTATTGCGCACGCTGTCGGGCGGTTCGGTTGAAAAAATTTTGACTGGTTGCAGCATATAAATTATACATTGTTTTAATTCGAACGGCTTGCTAAATTTCCAGTAACAACCATTTCCAAGTCGGACTTGTGAGCAACAACAGCAAGAAAAAAATCAATCAATCAGCTGCAGCGTGCGCAGGCTAACACCGAAGCAGTTAGGCGAGAGCGGAGCGGAGGCAAGAGTGCAAATCTCGCGTGTGTGTGTACATATATAAAAGAAAAAAGAAACGCACGAAAAAATAATCACAGTGTGACGGAAAATATATGCATGTGAACGGTTTTTAAAAACTCAAAACACAAATTAAAACCAAAATTGTTTAAAAATATACAAAAAAAAAAGTCAGTTTCAAGTTTTTATCAGTACCGAACGATTGAATGGACGGCGAAGTTATTTTAGTTAGTGATAGCGAGGACAACTCAACTAATTCCGACATGGACGTGGAGCTGGAACAAGAGGATTGTGTGCAAATTGTGCCGAAGGATAATGCAACGTGAGTAAATTTGGTATTTGTATATACATATGTATGAACATAACCTGCACCTATGTATGTATATTTGAATGTGTGTGTGAAACAAACTCTGATTGCCCACCCCTCATGTTTTGTGATATCTTTATGTAATCGGTTGCTTGACACATAAACGAACCCACACATGCATATATATGATGTATACAAGTATGCCCATATAATGTTTTGTAATTATATTCTTCAGTTGGCGCTGCGCACATGGTCAGGGGCAGGTAGTCAACGCCAAGTGCAGGCAAAACGCCAACGTTTGTTTGTCCCTGAGAATATGGGATTTATTCTTTTGCTTATTGGCCAACAGCAAGAAACTGGTTTTTCTGCCTTATCTTGCACACAACCTTCGCTTGCGTTTTCTCTCTGTTCGTGTGTGTGTGTGGAACGTTTGGGTTTCAAATTTGCTATTTTTGCGAAATAAGCATTTTTCGCTCAATTTGCTGCAAAAATATTCCTTGGCGATAACGATTTTCGTGCGTCTTTTTTTCTCTGTTACAGTTATAGGTGCATTGTGCACAGCTGTGCCTGCACAGTGACCGTCAAACTGCAAAGTATGGGCGTGTTGTTTCTTTTAGTTTTTTCTCTCTCAAAAATAGTCGTAAATTTGTTGTTATTGTTCTAATGTCCTCAACGCTTCATTTAGCATTTGCAGTCACGCTTGTCACCATAGTTGCTTTCTTCCCAACCAATTTGCAATTTATTTAAATTGCCATTTATTCTGCAAAAAACAGCAACAACAAGCATGCTCTTCTACATTACTCGTTTCCGTATTGTGACAAATGTTGTTGTTGTTGTTGTTGTTGTGATTGCCCGCATCATGAAGGTCAGGCGCCGCCTCAGAAACAGCTGCTCGGCTTGGCTTGGCCTGGCCGGTTGGCATTCTCCATTTGTGGCAGACTTTGGTTTAGAACAAAAAGTTGTTCCTACCAAATTGAGTCGAAAACGTCGTAGACAATATAAAAAATATATGCATTATTTGGCTTTGCATTTCTCTTCAGGTTTTGGAAATGCTCACGGGGTTGTTGCTGAGCTGTTTCCGTTAGGTTCTGCGTCATTCGCAGTTTGGTTCGTGTTGGCTGAAACAACAACATGAGTCAACCCGAAGATATATAGTATATAGTATATATATACATACGTATGTACACAGATAGGTAGAAGTTGATAAAATGTATATTAGATGTCTTGGTTATGCATACCCAGAAATGCGCACTTGATTATTTGTACTCGACATGCCAAATACGAAATTCGCGTGCCTGAAACACATGGAAACGTTTGTTGTATTTCTCTCAGCTACAAAAAATCGATCAATCGGCCATTAAAATATTGTTCGTTCGCAACAACTGGAAGCAATTGTAAGCTTCTTGGAATGAGGCAGAGATCGGAGCCTGATATTAAAAAGCTCTTGTTTATATATTTTAGAACTACTTACGATTCAGAACCATAATTTTTGAAGTTACATTTCTTACACGCTCTTAGTGCTTATGTATCCTCGTATCAAGTTTTATCCGAATATGTAAACTCTACAGGAAGTTATAATCATAAATCTAATCTCTGTCTATAGCCATACAAGAAAATTTTATACTTCTTTGTTCTTTATGGAGTCAAGCTAGGGGAATTTTTTGACTCTAAAAATAAAATAAGAAATGAAAACCAAACACTGTTAGTTGTTTTTATTAGACAAATTATTCATTTTTGAGAAAATTCTACATGCTTTGTACAAAATATAGTTGGTGGCCTAAGAGTGATTTGAATTTTGTTTCAATTAAATATTATATTCTATTATTAACGTGCCCTGAGGGTTCTACTGCCCTTACATACATACAGGTATGTAGTTTTGCCAACAGCATCCTCGGTACTGCCTGGATCCCATGGATCCGGTCACCTTTTCTGGTCATTCACCATCCGATCGTCCAGTTAAGAAGTCACATGTACATCGTAAGCAGTGAGGTCTTTAGAGTATCAATCCTGCCAGTCATTAACTTGAAGCTTTCCTTTGTTTTTCCATCGGCAAAAACCTTGCAGAATCGAATATTTGTGTAATATATGTACAGTAAAAATGGCTTCCTAAACCCGATCCTCTACCTACATGCCTATAAATGTTGACCTTTAATTAGGAAACCTCCATAAGCTGGCAAATGTCAGCGAACTTCTTAAACGAGACCGCGGTCCGTCACACTCCAAATCCCATTTGAATGATAAACAATAACAAATGGTTGGTCATGTTAATGACTTTCTGCACTAAAAAGTCGCATTCAAATGGTTCATTGTTTTTATTAGGTTTATTCAGCAACAAAAACAAAATGCAAACAAGGTGCTTGCCGCAGCCTACACGCGACACAAGTGTCGAAAAAAATTTGCACAAAATGTGAACGAACCCCAAGCGGCACGAACTTGACTTTTCGCTGACGTGTTGCCTCAATTAGATAATTTCAATTTACAAACTATTATAGGTAGTCTATACATTCATACTATGTGTGTATATGTGAGTGTTGACTCAAAGATTGGCGAAACGACTTTTTGTTTAGGCCAATTCAAAAGAAATTTCACTGATGGCCCATGCCATCGACTCGATTCGACTCGCCTGAGTCATCATCAGCCAGCCAGCCAGTCAGCCAAGCAAGTAGAAACCAGCTTTGTTGTATTTGTATGAATTATACTCGTAATATATATATAGTATAATGCTCAGCAGGTTTAGTTTTATTGTTATACAGCAGACGAGCGCGTGTCAGTCAGAAATTATAAAAGTTATTACCTCCTCTCTACAAGATGACGATTGAGATGATGCTGTTGCTGATGACGGTGGTGATGAGTAGTCGTTAAGTTGAAAAAGGAAACTCGTTTGGTTGGAAACTTAGTTGTCGCTATAATGTTTCAATCGGCTTAGACAGTTGCCAAACGCTCAACCTAAGTGGGAGGGTTTTGTAAGTCGACGAGGTAATGCTATCTAACTAATGGCTGGCAATCAGTTCAGAGAGTAATACAACGATGGTATCGCAATCAGATACCAAAATGGTTTCTTGTCTTAAATATTCCACTGATAGCCCCAAAATAACTTCAGTTTTATGCTGACCTATTTGTGCATATTATAGCTACAGTTATTCAGTTATATTTCTCGATTGTGCATTTTTTATAGCTTATGCTTGATATATCGTTTGGTCTAAATATAACCCTAAAATACTTAGTAAGTCGCTTTCTTTCGTTCCTCCTTCATACATATATTTTAAAACTCTTTCTTAAACTAATGTGAATTATTGGTGTTGGCAGATTTTATATATATTCTGACGCTGTCTATATTGTACGCTCTATTAGTAGTTGCATGTGTTTTTGAAATATGAAGTTCATTAAGTAGGTAATTGAAATGGTCAGATGATCGAAAGAAATGGTACTCGAAATAGTCTCCCATATTTCGACTGTCTTACTTTTCCCCAACATTGCCCCAGTTTATTGATGGCTCAAAATATTATTGTTGGCCAACTTACGCTCAATGTCTGTCTATTCTATTTGCTTAAATGCCATTTAATTGACAAGGCAAAGGCCTCCAGGTCATTCAGCTGCCGTCAACCTAAATGGAGCACAAAACTCCAATTAGCCATTTGGCAAACTTTTGGGCACGAGTGCCCCTCAACTCAGCTCTACCAATGGCCCAAAGCTGACCTGTCTAACCAGTCAACTGGGCCTCACTACACGATCCAAGGTGCTTGATTTATGGCTGCAAGCGGCAAGGCCGAATACAGTTTGAGTAGCACTGAACCAATTGAAAGCTGCTTTCTAAACTTTGCTGTATGTATTCAGAAACAATAAACAGAACCGCCGACCCCAATTCTGCAAATCACACGCGTGTCCGCTTAACCCAAATATTTTTTACCCAACTGCGTCCAGACACTCCGCTTTGTTGTTATTAAAATTGTTGTGTTTTTTATTGTCAGTCAGAGCTGCCAGCAATACTTCTCTGGCTCCTTCTTCTGCAATTAGCTTTGCCATTCTCTGCGTTTTGTTTTCGGGCTCCGAAACTTGAAGCTCCAGCGAGTAGTTGTCGTCGACAAAGTGGGTCAATTAGATTATCGATTCAAGCCGTTGTTGTTAGCTTGTTTTGCAATTATTATTATTGTTGCTACTTAGTTGTGCGCCATTAGAAGGTTGTGTGCTGTGCTGGTTATTGTTTCGATTCGTTGTTGGCGTTGGCAGCGAGCGCCCACTTGGTTGCTTCGCCTCGGGCTTAGACTTGGTTCCCCAGACCCCGCCAATTCTTACATAGCGCTTCTTGAGCAGCTTTCAATTTTTGCTGGCGGATGTCGTGGGTTTTTCGTTCTTTTTTGTTCAGAGTTAAATTGAAATTGTTTAACTTACGTAATTCAGCACAGACGGTGTGCGCGTGTTTGCAATTTGGTGGCAAAATTATTTATTAAAAATGATTGTTTAATGGAACTCATTTCGAGCTTATTCGGACGCTGAGTTGACCCAAAATGGCAAAGGCATGTTCAAACTTTAAAGTCAAGGTTCAAGATCGAGTACGAGTACGAGTGAGTGCTCCACTGATGATAATACAGATAGCGTGTTATTATGGCTTAGCAGGCCTCACATTTCAATGCCAAATGTTGTGGAAATATGTTCAGCTGGAAAACCCTTGAACTTTAGTCGGTTTGATAACTAAAAACGATCGAAAAACACAACGGAAATTTAAGTACATTTCAATACATTTCAAGACTATAGCAATTTTTACAACAGACTAGATTCTGAAAAAATTAACAATTCGTTTAAATCGTTTATTTGAGTGTGAGCATAGCTTGCGGACAGACAAACAAATTAGAGATTTTTGTTTTGTTTTTTTCGTTGTGCTCCTTAATCTAATTTGCTTTCTCCTCTTCTTATTAGTTCTTAGTTTATTAGATCTACATATTATGTCTCTGACTACATTTGACTGTGAATCGGGCCATAGCTGCTTAAATGCCAAAAACAATGTTCACCGTGTTAAT